GTGGTCAGCCATCTTCTCCGCTCTTTTGGGTCCATAATAATCGTGGAGCTATAGACCATTTCATGGAGACTTCGGAAAACTTCGTAATTTGCTCGGAATTTTGATCACGTGGCGGGCGGTCAACTGACCGCAATATCCAATCGATAGCTGGTAGGCAAATAGTCTGGTCCCCTGCTTAGTATGCTACCTAGTATAGTATAGCGGAGTGCATTGCAGGGAGCATACTAAGCAGTGGCCAAAACAAGGCGGACAATTCAGCATTAGCATCAACTGTCCAACTACTTCAGAATCGTTTATAGAGTTGAAAAATGCCTATTCAACAGCGATGATGCCACAGATATTGACGAAATTTAATATTGGAACCATCCTGTCTTGTTTTCTGGATTATATAGCCATACGAGAGAGTAGTTATGAGCTGTTTTACATCTGGACATGTACATGCCAGTATGAAAACGGTGTCTATGTTAAAAATTTAATCCCTTTTTTACCATAACACCGCATTTCATAAATCGAGTTTTGTTTACCAATAAAAGGAATTTTTCGTATTAATCCGCAGTATAACAAACCTAGAATATTTTTCGACGATAAAGCTGCAGACGTCCCAGGCATTTAGCGGGCAGGTAGCGGGCATTTCTTAATTTGTTTTAATCTGATACGTCTAAACAACAATGTTTGCCATTTTGTTATGTACAGATGCCTACCAGCGTTTGATTGACTGGAGTATAATGTGACTCGGGAGGTTTTTCGGATAATTACGAAGCAACTCGGTTAAATCCGGTATGAAATGGGCTATGGTTGGGGTCCTCCCTTTGATGGCTTTGACCTTGCCCATACCTCCTTGTTAGGGGTATGGTGGTTATGTGTGGAGCAATATTTCTTCCATGACGAGAACTTAGCCTGCCTGAGTTTCTGTTTAGTTTGGGTCTCCTGTTTGTATGCTGAAAAGTTTACAACCGTCTGTGTGCGTTTAAACTTGGCTTAAGCTCTCTTCTTTGCTTGTATTGCTGTTTTGCATTCTTGTGCAGCGCCGGTGATGGTGTTATCATAGACAATATCGGGTCCGGATCTCTAATATGCTTTTTATGTTTGCAACGGAGTATGGCTTTGCATAGCGACCAGTCGGCCTGAGTCATTTTCCACCTCTCTGGCATGATTTGCTTTTCCCTGGTCTCGGTTATGTGTAGTGTGAGGGAGAGTGGGGAGTGATCGTACTGCACTTGCCAGGTCGCAATTTGCGCTACCGACGGTGTGGAGAGTTTATGGTCTAGTGTAGATATTTGTTCGTTGACAGGGCTGATACGTGTGGGTGTGCCTGTGTTAAGAATGAGGAGTTGGTTTGCCCGGGGAAATTTTTCTAGCCGTTTCTTCTGATCTGTGTGCAATCTACCCCATTCTGTATTGTGGGCATTAAAGTCCGCACAGAGTGTGCTGTATCTGGTGAGGTTTTGTATTATTTGCTTAACCTTAGGTGCTGGCATTCCTGCGTGGAGAATAGGTCGTATAAGTTGTAGATAGTATACTTCTTGTCTCCTATCTTAATTTGTATTCATTTATGCTCAAGTTTGTTGGGTTCGAGGTTAGCTTGGTTGTCTAGGTCTCTTGCCTCCGGTATGGTATTGTGGATGTATGTTGCCAGCCCTCTTCCTCTAGCCTAATCAGGTCTGTAGACGAAGTCATACTTCCGTATGGGAGGAGGGGGGAGAGCGGGGGGAAGGATGCATATAATTTCATGTTGATGTTCACTGTGAGCATTGGTGGCCACTAATTTGGCGTGATTTGCAAGTAGACCTCGACAGTTCCACTGTCATATTGTGATTGTATCTGTTGGTGTTGTGGCGATTGTGGGAATTTTAGTCCTGCACTCTCGCTGATACTGTTTTGTAGGCGTTTGTTATTATTTTAATTGTATAGACACTTGAGATGTATGACACCGCTATTTTGAATGTTCCTTTTTCGACGATTTTGTTTGTATTTAATTCGTAAATTAGAACGATTTTTATTTTAAAAAGTTGAACATGCCCTTTTTTATTCGCATCACTCACACAACCACTCCCACAGAAACAAAGCAACCACACAAGGTGTCCATCCGTCCCTAAAGCATGCCGACTAGATTGCACACTAGCTTTCGTTGTTGTTGTTGTTGTTGTTGTTGTAGGGTTTAACGCAATTTTTCTGCACAAGATAGGCTATATATCCATCACTTAGACGGCCAGTATTAATGGTGGAGGAAGAACCCAGGAAAACCCAGGAAAGAACCACCGACCCACGAGAAGCTAATGGCAGACTTTCTCACTCACCCACGTTAGCCGAGTTTGGACTCGAACTCATGCAGACTAGCTTTTGTATAGTGTTTTGTCAGTTTTTCAATATTATATACATCGTGCTTCATATAATGTATCTCGTACAGATTTACAGTAAGTAGATCGTAGTGACCTTTATCCTAATACAAAAATTTACTTGCACGTAGAGATCCTATATTAAACTATTCAGCAAAAGATATAAAGTTTACATTGACTTTGAATTTATAACTTTCTTAAGAAATATTTATTTGTGGATCTTATAAAGGAGAATTGTTATTGAAATATTCGTTTGTGATCCCCGTGAGTTTGGCAGCACTTTGCAAAAGTCACAAACAAAATTATGCCACGTTGAGTTATTTTGTTTGCAAGGAAATTTAAAACTGCTCCATCACTTAGAATTCAAATTACGGCTTAAAAGGTATTCGTCTTTTCAAGAATACGAATAGTCACATTACTACCATCATTGAGATCTCCGTTCAGAATAGTCGCATTTATATTAATTGTTCTTTTAGAAAGATGATATGTAAGTTAATGGAGTACATGGTATAGAATAGGGGTCATTAAAGTCTACAAAGTTTTTACGTATCGGTCAGTCAGAGCTCCGAATAATTTGTGAACTACTTGTCAGGCATTGTTCTGTATGGATCAGTTATATTCAATCCAGCAAACAATCAGCACTCCCCACCATTGATCGGAAAGTTAACTTATATTTGTTATGATTACAAATATATGGAATTAACAATATATATATATATATATATATATATATATATATATATATATATATATATATATATATATATATATATATATATATATATATATATAATCTGATCATATATTTTGCTTTATTTAGAAGTCAGTACTATGGTTGTCCTCACTATTACCAAGATGTACATGAATAAGTTGACATGTCTTTGGAATAGAATGGTTTAGATTGTAGAGATTGAGACCACGCGTTTGCAAAAAAGATTACTATATTCTTGTTATGCATTTGCTCAAAATCAATAATAAGCATAAATGGTAACATTTTTAGGAATTATATTATGTTTCCGTTACCATGTCATGTTGAAATGATTTAATTGTTGACGGGAATCTATCTTTATACAAGAAATCTAATTGTTTGATTCTAGTATTGGTTAAGGATGGAATTGGTTCGCAAGTACATGGCTCTGGTAGAGAATACATTAGACGATCTTCAGAAGCCACGTGGCCATTTCACACATATTGAAGTGTACTTCTTACCTGTAAGCCACATGGCAATTTCACACGGCTATTACAGTGTACATCTTACATATAAGCCTCATGGCCATTTCACACGGCTATTGCAGTGTATATCTTACATATAAGTCACATGGCCATTTCACACGGCTATTGCAGTGTACATCTTACATATAAGCCTCATGGCCATTTCACACGGCTATTGCAGTGTACATCTTACATATAAGCCACATGGCAATTTCACATTAGTATTGCAGTTTACATCTTACATATAAGCCACATGGTCATTTTACACGGTTATTGCAGTGTACATCTTACATATAAGCCACATGGCCATTTCACACTACTATTGCAGTGTACATCTTACATAAAAGCCACATGTCAATTTCACACTATTATTGCAGTGTACATCTTACAGATAAGCCACATGGCCATTTCAAATGGCAATTGCAGTGTGCATCTTACATAAAAGCCACATGTCAATTTCACACGGCTATTGCAATGTACATCTTACATATAAGCCACATAGCCATTTCACACAGCTTTTGCATTGTACATCTTACATATAAGTCACATGTCAATTTCACACGGCTATTGCATTGTACATCTTACATAAAAGCCATGTCAATTTCACACGGCCATTGCATTGTACATCTTACATATAAGCCACATGGCCATTTCACACAGCTCTTGCAGTGTACATCTTACATATAAGTCACATGTCAATTTCACACGGCTATTGCATTGTACATCTTACATAAAAGCCATGTCAATTTCACACGGCCATTGCATTGTACATCTTACATATAAGCCACATGGCCATTTCACACAGCTCTTGCAGTGTACATCTTACATATAAGATAATGTCCTTGCCCATGTATGCCCACACATGATTTTGGTTACAACAGTTATTGATCAGGTCTTAGTACAAGTTTCTAATGACATATTAGAAAATCACCAAAGTCCTAGCTGGGCATTATATAGTCTGTCCAAATTACAAAAGTCCGAGCTGGACATTATATAGTCGGTCAAAATCCCAAAGCTCAAGCTGGGAATTATGTAGTCGGTCAAAATCCAAAAGCTGGGCATTATATAGTCGGTCAAAATCTGGGCATTTTATATAATCGGTAAAAAAAGGCGGCACCTGCAGAAAAAGTGATATCTGCACTAGAGTGATAAATTCCCGAAGACTTATAATCGCGCGCGCGCGCGTGTGTGTGTGTGTGTGTGTGTGTGTGTGTGTGTGTGTGTGTGATTTGGATTTTTAATGTAGCTTAAACAATTTTTCATATCGCTACGAGGTCCGCACTATGACAGTTTAGAGTAATATCTAGCACTAGCTGATGATGCCGCAGATACGTAGCGTCATGTTTCGCAGTCATATCATTCTGACACCTGGCCGATCAGTCCTGACACTAACCTTTTAATGCTAAGCACCGAGCGAGGCAACTGTTAGTACCATTTTTTAAGTCTTTGGTATGACTTGGCCGGGGTTCGAACCGGCAACATCCCGCATCCGAGGCAGACGCTCTAACCCATAGGCCACCAGAGCGGTCAAATTAGCGCCCAGTTAAATACTTGTGATAGACCCCAACTTTTAGCTCGAAAGGTAATGGAGCTTCTGACGATTATCTGGAACACTTACGTTTGTACAGAGTTTGAAGATAAACAAAGAAAAAAAAACCCACCTGCATTGGTTTGATTTTACGTAAGAATCCAAAAGTAGCACCTCAGTATTGTCTGTTAACTAGATTTAGATGCCTCCAGTGTTTCAGTGTGTCTCTTCTAATAGCGATGAGTGTCAAAAAATACCAAAGTAGATCAAGAATAGAAGACGTATTTACTACCTTAATTAGTATCGACGAATATTTGAATCCTACTTGAACATATTCAACCATTACATTCAAGTAATACATTCAACGAATATTCAGAATGGAAAACGTAATATTTGTTTCAGCCTTAAAGATGTTTTTGCTTAAAACTTTAATGTCCGCATACCATTATCTCACAGAAAATACTGAAAATTTGAAAGACTTTGCTTAAAAGGAACTATAATTTTAGATTTCTAAGCTTGGACTAAATGACCATGACTTGTATATAAAGTGTATGAATTTCACGGTTGGTTAGATCTAGCGTTATTACCTTTTTATGATGGGGCTCTGAGTGGCCGAATGAACTAAAGCGGTCTCCGTTACGAATCACTGCCATCTCACCTCTGCTTGCGTGTGTTCGAGTCTCGGATTCGGTCAATATAGATATATGAAAGCGCTTGCCAGTAGCTTCTCGTGAGTAGGTGTTTTTTTTTTTCTTGGGGTTTTCCCGATTTCTTCTTCCACCATTAATACTGACCCCATGTATAGTCTATCAGGTGCTGAAAAATGGCGTTAAGCCATACCACAACAACAACCTCTCATGATAATGTTTTCTTCCACTGTCGTCAAGAGGAGTCTTCCAGAGGTGCAGTCTCCGCATGTCTTGATGGAACTATTTGGTATATTCACCAAGTTTTAAAACTCGTTTTCCCACATTAATTTAATGCTGATATTCGAGGCTTACTGTTTTAAGCATATCAATCTAAATCCATGCTTCAGTATATATAGATACATCTATTCTACAGTATATCAGTCTAAATCTGTACTACAGTATATCAGTCTACACTTATTCTACAGCATATGTCTAAATCTATACTACAGTATATCAGTCTACACTTATTCTACAGCATATGTCTAAATCTATATTACAGTATATCAGTCTACACTTATTCTACAGCATATGTTTAAATCTATACTACAGTATATCAGTCTACACTTATTCTACAGCATATGTTTAAATCTATACTACAGTATATCAGTCTACACTTATTCTACAGCATATGTCTAAATCTATACTACAGTATATCAGTCTACACTTATTCTACAGCATATGTCTAAATCTGTACTACAGTATATCCGTCTACACCTATTCTACAGGATATGTCTAAAGCTATACTACATTATATCAGTCTACACCTATTCTACATGATATAATTGTAAATCTATGCTACAGTATATCAGTCTAAATATATGCTAAGAGTATATCAATCGAAATCTATGTCAAGTATATCAATTTGAAATCTAGGCTTTATTAAAGCAGTCAAAATCTATGCTACAGTATAGCAGTCTAAATATATACTACGGTATAACAGTCTAAATCTATGCTACAATCTATCAGTCTAAATCTATGCAACAGTATATCAATCGAAATCTATGTTACATTATATCGGTCTAAATGTATGCTACATTATATCAGTCTAAACTTATTATACTGTATAGCAGTCTAAACCTATGCTACATTATATCAGTCGAAATCTAGGCTAAAGTATTGCAGTCTAAATCTATGCTATATTATATTAATCAAAGTCTATGCTACAGTATATCAGTCTAAATCAATGCTACAGTATATTTGTCTAAATTTGTTACAGTATATCACGATAAATCTATGCTATAGCATATAAAATATTAAATGCTACAGTATATCAAGATAAATCTATGTTACAGTATAGTAATCTAAAGCTAGCTACATCATATTAGTCCAAATCTATGTTACATCATATCAAGATAAATATATGCTACAGCATATAAAAAATAAATTTGTGCTACAGTATATCAAGAAAAATCTATTCTACATCATATCAGTCTAAATCGATGCTACAGTATATGAAGATAAATTTATGCCTCATTACATGAAGATAAATTTACATTCTTGAAGCTCGATAAGAATTTTCCTGGCGACATTTGGTATTAACACTATTGAAACATTTAACTGGTTGATTAGAAAAGGAAAATATAGTAGTGAGAAATGAAGTATAGGTCCTATATTCTGTCAATAGATAAATATTCGCATTAATCGTCAGCGTCAGTAAAGTGAATACATCTGTTAGACTGTTTTGTTTCATTTATACGCAGATGTAACCTTACTTCTACTACAGAAATACCGAGTGACTCGTGTGCGTTTTTTTCCGTATCCGCTTATTCTGGTTATGCGTGCGATAAAGAGATTTTAGGTAATACATATTATATTGTTCTATTTACCCATCACTAAACAACTATATCCAGTGACTGAAGAACTATATATTTTAGCAAACACATCAGTTACCACACGCGCTAGCTTGACTGTTTTCATTCAGTACTTTCTGGCTTGCCATTGTTTCTGCTTCTTACCTGAAATTTCAATAAGCTTTCCGGGTCCTACTAATACCAGTAAAAATAGTACTAACCTCTGACTTGCTTGGGGCTTAGCATTAAGAGGTTAGCGTTAGAACTGGTCGGCCTGGTGTCAGGTTTATGTGACTGGGTGGTACATCATGCCACATGTTTGCGGCATGATGTCCCAGTGCTAGATATCATTATGAATAACCATACTACAGGCATCCTAGCAATATGACGAAACTTGTTAAAGGTGGCGCTTACCAGTTATTAAGTACTTTTGAGAGAGCGATGTAGGTAAGGTGAAGTTGTTTGCATCTAAAATATGCACAGTGGAGAGAATGTTGGCATGCATCTATGCTGCTTTTATGTAATATGGCTGACATGTCTTTAGATATTGTACTTTTAGAAATTGTAAATGATCTTAGCACACTGCCAGACTTGACAATACTAGTGAACGAATTACCAAATATATAAAACGTAAAAAAAAAAATATATCTGCTCTATTGTGTTTACATTTTACCTCTGAAGTTCCGGAAGTGAAAATGAGAAAGTGGAACTACCACTTTTTTGAAAGGTGCACATCTGGAGTAAGGCCAAGCTGTAATCTCTATAACCCATATTACACCCATCAGTTATACACTAAAATAAAGGGAATTAAAGGTACTGTGAACAATACCTACGATATACAATGTTTTTTTTTTTTAAATAGCCAGTATAACTACTATGGAAACCCGGGGAAATTCTTGTTCTTTAAAATTCTAACCCTGTGCTAAATACGAAACTAGAGCGCCACCATATCTACGCTAAAATTCCAAATCACACAGACACACACACACACACACATATTTCAACAACTAATGCCTATGACATATTCTCTTTTTATTTTCAGCGAAATGGAGACCAGAAATTTTAAAGGAAAATCCAGGCACGCAATCGACATATCTCAGAAATTCTGTTGAGGGCTGCACATTCGTAAAATAATTATAAATAGTATTTACTTTTGATGCAGAGACAATACGTTTTCTCATCTCCAGGTTAGGCGTTCATCGTCAATCTTGGTACTAATTGGCTGCAATCCTAAAAAATCATTTACAAAAATGGATGGAGACAGGAAGGGCATTAAATGCAAAAGATGTGCGGCTGTTCTTCCAAACCAACAGACTTTTCAGGATCATCAAAATACTTTTCACACGACGCTGTACAAGTGCAGACACTGTCCAAAACAATTTATGCAGTCGCAGTCATTGGCTTCTCACTGCCGAGTTGTACACAAAGATGTGATCAAGAAACGACAAAAGTTGCTAATAAAGAAGAGAGCTTCCTTAAATTTAGAGCAGTGTAAGATCTGCGGAAAGCCTTTCATTTCTCTTACTAAGCTAAAACTACATATGAAGAAATTTCACACGGAAGGCAAACAAAAGGTGACAAAGAAGGAAAAGGCTGAGATACGTGATCCTTCATTTGAAGTCTATATTGATACTAGTGGAAATGATGATCCGGAACACCAAAAGGCGTCGACATCAACCTTTCAACTCAATTCTGCTGATAACGTCAGGACTGGTTCACGGATTCTAGTGAATGGCGTTGCTCAAATGAAACAAGCAGTTACAAAAGTTGGAAATTTCAGCTCCAGCTCTGAAAATGAGGACGCTGAGGAAATAACAAATGTGCGCAAAGCGACTGCATTTAAACGGAAGAGGTTTAAAGGAAACTCGGGGCTGTACCGGTGCAAATATTGCTCTAAAACGTTCGCTTTGTCCACTTGCCTGGCAACTCATGTTAGATGTCACTATGCAAAGTTACAAGAGGGCAGCATTAAATGTGGTACGTGTTCAGCAAGTGTTTCGTCCATGTCAGAGCTCCGGGCACACGTGAACAAGTTGCACATAAACTGTAAATCTTATTGTTGCGGATTGTGTGGATATCTCACTAATCAGATTGGAAAGTTTCGGTTGCATCTTCTGTATACTCATATGCAGATACAATATAAATGCACGATTTGTAGCAGATCATTTCCCTCAAACATTATGCTTAAGAAGCACTATTTGAGAGAACACGCCGTTAAAAAGCCGGGAAAACTGAGAGAGTTGTTGAAATGTGACCGCTGTAAGTTTGAATGTTATACAGATGACGAATTGGAAGTTCATCAAAAGGTTCACATAAAAAAGCTGAATAAATGTAATCTGTGCAAATATAAATGCTATTCTGAGGATCTTCTGGCAAGGCACAAACGGCAGGCCCACATTGGATCCAAGCCAGCGCGGCGTACGATCGTTAAGAATGAAGTAAAAGTTATAAGTGTAAACGCAGCCATGCCTGCGGAGGAAATACTCCCTTTCTCGTGTGGGATGTGTGGATCCAAGTTTCCC